GTAAATGTTATTACGAAGCTCAAAAACAGTTCTTTAAAGAAAATATTTAGGAAATTAATTAATTCAAACTAAATCAATTCTTGTATGAACCTTAACCTCAATACTGCGCACGTGTAAGTGGTCGCCTTGTGCCAATATTAGTCTGAAAACTTGAAGGTAAGAGACCTCTTGGAAGACCTAGGCGTAGATGTGAGTATAATACTAAAATGGATCGAAGTTTGTGACGAAGCCTGGCTCAGCAAACTGTTCACTGATGTAATGTAATGAAAATTCGGGTTCCATAAAATGCAACAAATTCCTTGACTAACTGAACAACTATCAGATTCTCAACAAAGACTGTGCGAAATGGAATTATACCTAGGAAAAGGGTTAAACTATTTTATCAGTTGATTTGTGGTCATTCCAATAGATTCTGAGTTACTTGCAGTTTTATGACCAAAGAAATCAGGACAGGTAGTTTACACTGAAACGCGAAGTGGTAGGATCAAATCTGAGAAAGACGAAGTTTGGCGAAATGTGTTTTGAATTCCTGGAAAAAGTCTGGTGGATTTGATAAAGGACGATAATGGGTTCTAGTTTTCAGATTAAAGTAGCGAGTTCTGTTCGACTAGACGTAACGCTGTAGAAATATAGGCTTATGGGGCTACCCTCTGTTCGTGATTTTCCTCAGGCCAATGCAACCCTCGGACAAACTACGTCACACTTCGTTCCTTCTTATTTTGACCAAACAACATTAACCCATGAACCATAATTTAAAATTGTTCCAAGTGAAACTTCGTTTTACGAAGTGCTTCACGTTCGAATAAAGACAAAGTTTTGTGATTAAGAACCTGTTTGAAGCTGGTGACGAGGTGATGCTAATATTCTTGTATAAATCTGATAAATTGTTACGTATCGTCTCACCCATAGACATGTGTAACTTTGTGGTTAATGCAACTGTTAGATTAGGAGAAGCAAAATGATAATCAATCTCCGTCGAAGCAATAATAATTTATCACAATTTTCTGTCATATTTCCCTCGATTCGTATTCTCGTTTCGCGTGTTGAAAGCGTCACGTGATGCATTCGAAAACATTCTATGCAGAACTTTAATGCCCACTGGTACCACAGTCTGGTGATGAACAGTCCGATACAACCATTACTTACGTACAAGATTGTCAGCTTTCCGCCTCAAGACTGTTATCGACGTATTTATCTCGCAAAACATTTCGAGAAAGTATTATACAAACGAAACTAACCAAGATGTATAAATTTCCTTGTAAATCCTGTATTGGAATGAGACGGTGAGATTATTGCAGAGTTGGATAAAGAAATGTTGACTTTTCGAAATTGGCTTTCTACCTCCGGAATGAAATTAAGACGTGTTAACGCGTGTTCCAATGAGATCAGCTGTCAAACTGAGGATTTATATGAGAGGGAACTTAATAATTGAAGCAAGTCGCCTCGTGTCGTAACTTGGACGAGCAAATGAATTTCCTAATTGAGATGGCTGTCTTCTGGGTTGTTGGCGCCGTGAGTCTTACTCATCTCCCTGATGATGGAGGAAGTAAGTACTTCTGAAACGTCGGTAAACTCCTACCAGGCTACACCTTCATACTGGCTGTCGTGGGAACCTGAAATCTCAAATTCTTATGAATTTTGGCGTAGAAACCTGTTGAAAAGAAGCTACATGAACGTTCCACATAGTTAAATAGAATGTGAACTGGACTTAAGTGGTTTAGTACTCAGAACTGTCCCTCATAGGTAGCTCGTTAATGTCCATCTCTGTTACTACACAGACAGCTGTAATTAGTACCAACATGGCGGCCTAGCAAACATATGAGTTGGGAATTACACTAGCGCCAAGAACCTTGAAAATATTTACGGTCAAACATTTCGTGATTTTCGATGGCCGTCTTCTGGGTTGCAGTCCTGTGTAGTCTGATAGAAATTTACCAAAGTTCACTTCCGTTCCTCATTTGAAATAACCGCGTCTTAATAAGATTTGTGAGCAATTTTTGTAAAAAGTATCTTACTTTTTTTATGATATGGTGACGTGATATGCGGTAGGCAACACGCGCTTTTGAAAACGAGAAGAATTTTCTTCGAAAGCAACAGACGATGTCAGCGCATGGCGTCGATTCGTCACGTGTGCGCGCCGAAAGCCAAATTGCCGCAATCTGAGAATCTGCGCCTCGGCTTTCCCACGCTCTCGCGTTGTGCGGGTGGCTTATCGCACGATGATGATAAGGGCACTTCACGAGGATTAGCGTCAGTCACTCAGAGACGGCAGCAGGCGCATGAAAAAGAGAAAAGATGACGACGACTGTAACTAAAACTTAACTTCACTGAGCGCAGTCATCCCTGATAAGCTCGTAGTCTCTCAGCTAGTCAAAGAATTAGAGCGGTCATTGCCGTGCTAACCTGATTTTTAAACAAATGTTAACAAAATCAATATTTATTAACAGCTGCAGTAAGTGCCAAACTATAAACTTAATAATAATATCATTAAGTGCAATCCAGACGGCAGTCTGATTAGTGCTCCATTAGTGCAGTTGTTTTAACTTTAAGCCGGCCTTATAGACCGAAACGTGTCTTGAAGTTTAAAATTTAAACTTCTGGCTGTATTTGTTACGTTTTGCAATTCTGAAAGTCATAGGGGCGTGCAAAATGAGTTTTCTGACGCACTGTTGTCAGGCTCCATGGCAACGGAGCCTCGGACCTCCTGCAATTGTTTCCTTGTTTGGTCGTGACTTTGAGGTCACTGTTCTGAGAGACCGCAAGCCGATCGGGGGGTTCACATAGGTCACATGACTCGTAATGAGAAATCTTATTGGATGAGCAAACATGATTTGCTGCTAGTGATAGTCTACACACACACACGCGTTCTCCTGAGCAGGGGTTAACAAAACTGTCCAAGAATTACAGTCATTTGCTTTGTTTGTTTATATTGGTACGATTGTTGGGTTAAGCTGGGCAGGGCTTGCAGCAAGAATGGGAGTGGTCGCCCTGATGATGGAGGCAGCAAGGACATCTGAAACGTCGGTAAACTTCTACCAGGCTTACGAGAAGACAGCCATCTTCATATCATGGGTTGCTTTGCACTTTGTTTACAGACGTTTGTAATCGATTTTCGTCTCCCTAAGTAAGGGATCAGCCACACAAAACAACGGGAAAAACTAATTTAGCTTAAGCCTCTCTTTTAATGCCTCAGAAATTAGATTAAAATGGTTTTGAACTGAATATTAGAAAACAGTCCTTAATTAATTTTACTTTCAGTTTGATTATGAACCTCATTTTTGTTTCCTTGTTCCACTGATAACTAAATAGCAAAATTTTACTATAAACAGTCTTTATGCTGTGGCTCCGATAATAAATTAAAATTAATTAACTCTTGATTATTTATCAGCACAGGTTAAATAGTATGCAGAACGTAATCCGTATGTGTCTGTGTATTTGTTGTTTATTTAACGACGCTGTCAGTCGCTCACATTGTAGACACCTCCTAATAGTTGAGTGATTAATTACTAATGAATTGGAAAGAATATGGATGGAATGTGTCGTGGCCTGATTTAAGATACCATCCCGGTATTTGCCTGTACAGACGGAAGGACCGCGCTCGAGTTATCCGAGATTTCAAGCTTGGACCTTCGTCCTTCGAAGCAGTACTAATGCTTCCTGCCGACAAGGATTGCTAACCACTCGACCGCAACTTTGTATTGAAGGGAACGCTTAACATTTACCACCCCTGATTTTGGGCAACAATATTAAGGGAAATATAGGACTCATTTATCAGTGATCAGTGGGGGTCTCTTTCGTGTAT